AGTCTTTGCCATCAAGTTTACACCTTATTGAGTTCCATTCAAAGAGAAACTCACCTGCAGTGATATTCTCCCGCTGAAGGCGAATTGTGAGATCGCGAGCCATCCAATACATCTTGTAGTTCTTCTAAGATGCCCAAATAATATGGCTGAACATTAAACTCTTTAGGAGCTCCTTTTAGTGAGTTCAGCTTTTCTATAATTGACCGAATCTAAAAAAATAAAATATTTTATGAAAAGTATGTTTCTGTATTTTTAATTACATTTAAAAAAACATTGCAGAAGTGGATATTTATATATTAAAGAAAGGTTGTCGCACAGGCATTTAAAAAAATGAGTAGGAAATGAATTTTCGGAATCATTATGCAGAATTTGGATATTTAAACAAAAAAAGCAATAACAAAGTTTCTATTTATATATACTAAGTAAATTAAATAGTTTAAATAATAATTTATTAACTAACCTTGATAAGACTTTCGATCACGTTAAACTGGCTCGACCAACTGGTAGCCTGATCTAAAATAGGAATTAAGTTTGGGAATTGATCGCTGAAGTAGTCAATCCACCTTAAGTTTCTTGCAACTTTTACAACTTCTCCTACACTACTAAATAAATTCTTTATTGTATCTTTAAAGCATTATTAAGCACCAGCTGTAGACTGTTGCTGCATTGTCCGCTATATATATATATATATATATATATATATATATATATATATATATATATATATATATATATATATATATATATATATATATATATATATATATATATATATATATATATATATATATATATATATATATATATATAAATATATATATATATATATATATATATATATATATATATATATATATATATATATATATATATATATATATATATATATACATAAATTGGTTATTTTGGTGACATTAAAGTTGTGTGCATCTACGTTTTTAAAACAAAAAATCAGTACACGTTATTTTAGAGTGTTTAGAGATTTTAGAGTTTAGAGAGAAAAACCATTGCGTAAAATAAACTTTTCATAGCATGTTATCTCAGTTATACTTTGGAAATCACAGATTAAAAAAAAAAATCTTTGAGAAATTTATTTTTTGCTGCACTAGAACTAATAATTAACACAATTTGCAATGTGCTGTCTTATATTTAATTAAGCTATATGATGCTTCAATCGAGTTTTTATTGATTGTTCGTCCCCTAAAATCCCCGTTCAGATTTTATATGTGTTTTAATTTGGTTGCTTTGGTAGTTAATTTTGCATAGCAACAATACATTTTTACATTAGCGTTGTTTTTACAGTATTTTATTTACGCTAAGTACACAATATTGGGCTTATGTATTAAAATGAGATTCACAATTCTTGTGAGGTTAAATGTGAGGTTAATTTTAGATATGCTGTTCAACAATTTGTTTACTTGCATAAAAAAAAGTGGAAATCTGCAAACTATACTGTCAAAAATTTTAAAAAGAATTTTGTGAACTGGCTTAATAAATATTTAATTTTTAAAAAAAAAGACTATGAACCAACTGCCAAGTAGACGTGGTCAAAAACCAGTTACATTTGATAATAGTTCTAATAAAACTAAAAATAGTGTGCACCTGGTATAGTTGAACCTCATTCATCCAATAAATTATTTTTTTTTCAGCAGTAAAAAATTTGGAGATGAATTTAATGTTATTGCTGCCAAGAACGTTTGAAATATTTCAAATACATATAAAGCAAATAAATATTTAGCAGACGAAGCAATGGTTTCAATAATTGATGCCAGTCTGAAAAAAGCTTTATACCAATTGATTAAAAGCGAGACCATGGAGAAAAAAAATAACATCTACCCCGCTTACAATGATTTCAGGGATGCAAAGTTGAAAAGTTATCGTACAAATACAACAGCGGATGACTATTCAGCTTCAGTTCCTTTAAAAGATTTAATAGTTCATACTTTGTAAAGAATCTGTGTACTTCAGGAACCTTGCTGAGGCACTTGATATTGAACAACATAGTAATAAAAACAATGACACTCACGTGTAAGGTTTTGATGGTACTACTGGTCAAAGCACTTACAAAAATATCAAAACCTTATATTCAGATTTTATATTATCTTTGTAATATTCTCTTCAGGATATGAAACAGACTGATAATTGTTTTGACATTGTTAGATTATATGTGTCCTTTTATCCATAGTATTACATGGCTCAATCAGTTCACAAAGCATTGATACATGGACATCACATAATTAAAATCCTTACATTACCAATAGAACTTATGTCAGAGGAAGCTCAAGAGGCTACAAGTATTTCAAAAATCAAATTACTTCTTTGTAACTAAGGAAAGTATCTGGTAACTAAGCAATATAAGTATTCATAGCTTAGTTGGTATTCATGCCAAATTTAGTGAATGTAGCACTCGTAAAATATCTGCAAATACCATAAATAGGTTGTTGCTAAGCAAAATAAAGGTATCCATAGCAAAGAAATAAAAAAAATATTATTATCACAAAAAGTGCAGACGTGATATTAGTACTAATTTTAGTGAATAAAGCCTAATATTAAATTAGTGGTGAATTTTGTCCAGTAAAACTTAATTTTGGCCCACTGTGCAGTGTGAAAGAAGCGTGTTTTCTTGAAGCTTGTTTTTCTAGAATTATATATATGTATAATTTTAATAGGAAACACAAGAAAACACGCTTCTTTCTCACTGACTAAATGCAGACTTCAAAAAAAATTTAGCACAAAAACAGTTTTCGTAAAATGACGATTTATATATATATATATATATATATATATATATATATATATATATATATATATATATATATATATATATATATATATATATATATATATATATATATATATATATATATATATATATATATATATATATATATATATATATATATATATATATATATATATATATATATATATATATATATATATATATATATATATATATATATATATATATATATATATATATATATGTATATATATATATATATATATATATATATATATATATATATATATATATATATCCTATCGGCACATCTAGTTTCTTTTTCGGAAATAAAACCTATATAGGCACGTGTTTTTCACGATCCAGGCGTAAACCAAAAGCACGTGTATATTACGGGCAGTTTTACTAGAGTTTAACACGTGATTTTTGAGGTTTTAAGTCAAATTTAAATGTCGCATATTTTTATCAGTGGTTTCACATTCCTTACGGAAAGTTATTAAAATATAATACTACGTTTCCTTAAAGGTGAAACCATTAATACTTTAATTGGTATTTATGGTAAATAGTAATAGTTAATTTCACGGAATAAAAACCATTTAGGATACGTGTTATTCTTTTTGTTTTAGAAGGTTTTAAAAACGCAACAGAAACCAAGCGTAACTGTTTTCTGAGTTGTGCCGGCTGGGTATATATTATATATATTGTTTTATCATTAATAATTTTATAAATACCATTTAATAACAGTTCTTTATCTAATATGACGTCGCCGTTACTTAATCAGGTTTTAAAATGATAATATTTGGATTACTAGAAAGCTTTTTCAGTATTCCATGTTTTTTCTATAATTACCGTCCTTCTCAGGAATCTCTGAAAAAAACTTGGAATATCGAAAAAAACTTTCTAGTAATTCAAATTATATTATTTTAAAACCTGATAAAGGTAACGGCGTCGTCATATTAGATAAAGAACTATACGTAAATGGTATATATATATATATATATATATATATATATATATATATATATATATATATATATATTATATATATATATATATATATATATATATATATATATATATGATCTGTTAAGCACACTTGAAATAAATATTTGAATAAAATTAACAACACTTTTTAAAATGTTTGTTTTACATGTTTCAAACTACATAGTTCATCATTAGTAAAACTGTCCGAAACTTTTCACAACTCATTGATGAGTTTTCATTTCAAGGAAGATAAAAAATCTTACATTTTTCATTATTTAATGAAAAACATTGAGTGTCAAAGGAAAGCCTTCTCTAATTGCTTTTCTATTTTGGATTCTGCTCAAAGCGAGTATGAATTAGAAATAAAGTAAGGCTTGCATATAAAGTGGCAAAGGCCCTGTTTAAATAAACAAGTCAAACATGGAATTCTTAAAATATTTCGACTATTATGACGTTGATTTTATGAAAGAAAAAAAAATTTAAACTATTTGTACCTATTATGTTTTTTTTAAATTAAGTTTTGAGACTGACGCATTTTGTTATTGTATTTTAATGGTCTTTTTAACCTTTTGCACAGTGGTCTGAAAAACTTTATTTTTGGCCAAAATTTAAAAAAAAAAATATCGGTAGTTTTTTTATTTTATTATTTTAAAACACGACATTGTCCAGGCAGTTCAAAAATTTATAGGCTTCATATTTTTTCTTGAGAGAAAACTCAATAACCGTATCCAAGAGCGATTAAAAACCGATAAATAGTTTCTTGCAAAAAAACAACATTTTTTCATTTGTGTACCGGTTTTTACATCCATTTAAAACAATCATGACAACCATTTAAAACAACCATGACATTCATTTAAAACACCGCGACAATCAATTAAAACAATGTGATTTTCAATTAAAACAATCGTGATTTTCAATTAAACAATCGTGATTTTCATTTAAAACATTTAACGCATGCGCAATCTCAACATTCTATATTATTTTTAAAAAAAGGTCTTCTTTATATATTTATTTATCTAATATTATATAAATTTATTTTTATTAATATTATATTAATTTATTTTAATTTAATGGAATTTATTTTAAATTTGAATGGATGTCACGTTTGTTTTAAATGGATAAAAACCATATTTTTTTACATATTTTTTTTGCACATACTGTATTGGCAAAACAACCATGATGTTCAATTAAAACATGCATGATGATAATTAAAACAAACATAATTTCCTATTAAAATATTTAGCGCATGAAGATATTAGATTTTCATTAAAACATGCAGCGAAATTCTGTTTGCCAAAATAAGCAAAAATTTATTTTGAGATTGGTCGTTGATCAAAGAAAAATTCAATCTGAAACTTCATTGCCACGAAAAACTGAATCTGAATCTTCATGCCACGAAATTCCGTTTCCCAAAACATCAAAACAAGATCTTGTTGTAAATCTAGTCGTTGATCAAGGAAAAACTCAATCTGAAGCTTCATCGTTAACAGGAGTTAATCGAAACACAATACAATCAATTTTAAGAAGGTACGATCGAACGAATTCAACACTTCCTGGTTCTAGAGGTGGCGCTCGTCACGTTATTTTTAATGAAGAGATTAGAAGAAGAATTGAAGAGCTTATAAACGATAACACAACAACAACTGTAATTGAAATTAAATATGCTTTAAATGTAAATGTATCAATTAAAACTGTCTGGAGATGGGTGACCAATCTTGGATACACATATAAAATTACTCGACCAATTTATGAAAGAAGAAATGGCAATGATGTAAAAAATCTTCGTATTGAATATGTTACGTGGTATACTTCAATCTCGCCTATTAATCGCTATCGAAATATTGTTTTTATTGATGAAAGTTCATTTAATTTACACATGTTTCGCAGTCATTCATGGGCAAGAAGAGGAGTAACACCAAACCCGATCATTCACCCTAGGCAACGTAACGTTTTGATGATATTGGCCGTCGATGGTTTAAATATTATTCACTGCAAAGCTGTCAGTGTGTCAGTCAACACAGATTTGTTTCAAGAATATATTGATGAAGTTGTACGAGTTTTGGGGACAGAGGAAGAATTCACCCTGGTGATGGATAATGTCAGAATCCATCATAATGTAGAGATGAGGGCTCAGAACATTCAAATAAAATATTTGCCACCATATTCACCATTCTTAAATCCGTGTGAAAAGATTTTTTTTTTATCTTAAGAATAAGGTGCGAAGAAATACGGCCCCAGCTGGAAGAAATGAACTAATTTCAAGAATGCGTGAGGCATGCTAATCTATTCCTAATGTTAACTTATCAAACACACACTGCGAAAGCTTTTTCGAAGCGTGTCTTAGGTCAGATGACATACCTCGACAGTAATTGGAAAATAAACATATTTTAAATAAAATAAAATTTTAAATTTTTTTTTAAAAATCGAATGAAAAAAAAAAAAATTTTAAAATAATATAGAATGTTGAGATTGCGCATGCGTTAAATGTTTTAATTGAAAATCACGATTGTTTTAATTGAAAATCACATCGTTTTAATTGATTGTCGTGGTGTTTTAAATGAATGTCATGGTTGTTTTAAATGGTTGTCATGATTGTTTTAAATGGATGTAAAAACCGGTAAATAAAATTAAAAAAAAAATAGTTAGATTATTATTTGGAGAAGAAACTGTAAAAAAGATAGATGATATATCAAATACTACAGTCAAACGAAGACATAGTGACGTTTCATCAAATATTAAAGAAAATGTTATTAATGAAATTAAAGAATAGTCATTTTCTTTTATTCAGTTGGATGAGGCCTGTATTCGATTATTCCCACTGCCTGAATTATTCCATCCCTCTATGAAAAACTGAAAACGAGATTGCGCTTTCGGGTTATAACTTATAAACCGGTATAAACTTAAAACTATATGCACATATGTATAGATTTGAAATTTGAAATAATAATATAAGTTTCAAACATAAGTTATTTATGTTTGAAACTTGCATAAAATAAAAGTTTTTTTTTTAATTTCAACTTCTTCCTAAAACTAAAGTCCACATGCATAGACTTGATCGGTATGATTTTATTTAATCCTATTATGCATATATTATGCACAAAAAAAAATCAGCTGCAGATAAAATTATTTAAATCAACTTTAAGGTGGTCCCAGCAAACAAAAAGATATCTAAAATGCATCTAATATGCATCTAAAAACTGATCTAAAAGATGTCTAAATTCAGGTCTAGAACGGGACATAAATAGACGTCTATCTTATAGACGTCTTTTAGATGCATTTTATTCGACACAAATAATTGCCTTAGATGCATAAAAGATGTGAAATATACATCTTACAGATGCATATTAGATGTATAAAATACGTCTCTTAAATAGATGTCTAAGGCGCGTTTAAAAAAGATAGATAATAGATAATTTTTTAGTTAATAATAGCTCTTTTATGCATCTAATATACATCTAATATACATCTTTAAATGTATATTTCACATCTTTTATGCATCTAAGGCATTTATTTGTGTCGAATAAAATGCATCTAAAAGACATCTATAAGATAGACATCTATTTATGTCCCGTTCACGACGTGAATTTAGACGTCTTTAAGACCAGTTTTTAGATGCATATTAGATGCATTTTAGATATCTCTTTCTTTGCTGGGACTTGTTTGATACAAAGGTGTTACAGCGGTTAAATTAGTCATAAAAAAGGATAAAATTAAATAAGTAAAGAAACATTTTAACTAACATTACTTAATTTTTATTTCACAAAAATATACATAAGAAACTATATTTCTGCATTGCCGTCAATATTTTCTTCTACGTCGCCGATATCTAAAATAAATACATTAATGACATTTAAATGAATTTAAAAGACATGCAGAATTCTGAATCTATTTTTATGAAATATTATATATATATATATATATATATATATATATACATATATATATATATATATATATATATATATATATATATATATATATATATATATATATATATATATATATATATATATATATATATATATATATATATATATATATATATATATACACACATACAGTATCGGACAAAACCAGTGCAATCAAATGATGCTAATTTAGTTTCTTTGTATAAAAGTGCTGTATTTTTTCAATTTAGAGAAATAACTATGTAACTGTTTAGAGACAACGTTCTTCAAATTTTATTCATCACGAAGTTCATTATTTGTACACGAAAATTAATAAATTAATCAAAAGTATTAAAAAAAGTTGATTTCCTTCTGGACAAAACAAGTGCAACTCCACAAAATGTTGACCAAGCTGTATTCATATCAATATTTTGTGGTGAATCCTTTTTTATCGATCACAGCCTTGCATCTTTAAGGCATAGATTCGATCAGGTGATCAATAAAACTTTGTGGAATCGCTGCCTAGGCCTTTTGGATTTGTTCAAACAGTTGATCTTTATTACGAACACATTCATGATTAACTCTGCAGTTGACAATCTCCCACATGTTCTCGATAGGGTTGAGATCCGGAGATTGAGGCGGCCAATCCATCACTAATAGATGGTTGTCTTGAAACCACTGCTTGACTACTTGTGCAGTGTGTTTGGGATCGTTGTCTTGCTGAAAAACCCATTTTATTGGTATATTCCATTCAGCATGAGGTAACATAACATCTTTCAGGATATTTTTATAAATGAAACGGTCCATTATTCCATCAATTCGATGTATTGGACCTAGACCGTTAGTAGAAAAACACCCCCAGACCATTACATTGCCTCCACCATTGCATACAGTCTTATGGCAGTAACGTTAAGGCGTTTTCCGGCCGCTTGACGTACAAGCAGCTCTAATTGCTTTTGTATCTCAACTGATGATATCCAGGGATCCTTCTTGACAGATCTGACGATCATAGAATTCTCTCTAGAAATGGTGGAATGAGGTCTTCCACCATTGTTATCTGCTGCCAACTTCCCTGTGGAACAATATTTGGAACATAGTCTTGATACGATCTATTTTTTCACGCCATATTTATCACAAATATTTTTTTGTGATATTCCACTTAAGTAATTGCAAATAATTTTCTCTCTTAGTTCCAATCCAAGACTGTCGGGAACCATTTTTGCACTTGAAGTCATAAAATTAATAAAAATAAATAACCACACTTCTCAAGGCTTACCGTGTTACATTTACCTTGTGATGATAAAATATTGCTCTGCGGAACATAACGTCTTGGTTGGATGTGGACTGTATTGATGTAATGAAACACTTGTTGTATTTCACTTCTGGTATTGATGTTCTTCGATAAAACACTTTGATAAAACTCACTTCGATAAACTGTCTTGATAATACTGACTGATTGACTTCCATATACTGACTGAATTACATGTCTCTTATATAGTAAAATGAACCTGTGTAAACCTGTTCTGGAAGATTCTAGATGCTTCTTTTCAATACCTCTGGAAGCTTCTGGATGCGTCTGAATGCTTCTGAATGTTTCTGGATACTTCTGGATGCTTCCTGATGCTTCCTCTGGAAACTTCTGGAAGCTTTCGTTTCATTTTTAAGACATATAAAATTAGGAACACTTTTTAGCATTGTTCGATGTTGGTTGCAAATGTTTTGTCCAATACTGTATATACACATATACATGTATATATATATATATATATATATATATATATATATATATATATATATATATACACATATATATATATATGTATATATATGTATATATATATATATATATATATATATATATATATATGTGTATATATATATATATATTATATATATATATATATATATATATATATATATAAACAAGAAGATTTGTATCTCAACCAGATACAATAATAAACAACAATTTTATTATGAAAAAACTAAAGGAACTTATATTATGGATACAAAAATTCTAGCATGACACAAAAAAGTCGAAGAATATCTTTTTAATACAGATATCAGTTTTGTAAATACTATTAAAACTATACCTCGTAAAACACTCCATATATTTACTAGATTTTCTAAGCTTATCTTTTCCCCATTTTCTTTTCGATTTAATTTGGACTGTAACTGATTCGAAAATAACCTGATAAATATTTTAACAATAAACTGAAATATATAAAGATTTTTATTTTAATATATGTAATAAATTAAAATATATTTTAATATATGAAAGGTAAAATTATGAAAGGTAAAAGCATTAAATTTGAAAATAAAATGCTAAACAAGGTTTAGCATTACACTTACTTTAGCACATAAACAAACTTAAACACCTACAGCGAAGCTCCCGAGTTTATCAAATTGTCATGTTAAAAGTAAATCCATAACAAATAACGGTCAAAAAGAATTGCTTTTGGTCCCTTTTAATCATATTTCTAATAATTAATAAAAACATAATCATTTACCTTTACATGATCAAAAAAACATGTTCTCTTGGCTTTCCACCACCAATCTTTTTTAAACTATCAAGCTGAAATAAATGTAATAAAAACTAGTGTAACTTAAATTTCTTTACAACATATTTAGTCTAACACAAGCTAGTTATTTTAGTTCATTTACAAATACTTTTTATTTAGATTCTAAACTAATAAACCAAATTTAAACAAACTTATTAAAAACTAAGATAATTAGATTATACCAAATTAGTATACTCGGTTTTATCTTTTAGTTTATTATCTAGTGTAACCACTTCGTCCACCGATTCTAGCAACTTCGCCCCAGTAGCCTGAAACTTAATTTCTATAACTTCTTTTAAAAGAACTTTTATTTCTGCAAGCTCCTTGAGAATAACATTTTGCATCTCTACAAACAAGAATAAAAAGATTGATTAACATATTTAGCTCATAAAACCAAATAGCAAAACAATGAAATAAGAACTTTAAAATTCAAATTATGCTTGAGTAACTTAAACTAAAATTCCAAAAACACATGTAAGTTTTTTTATTACTCCATCGCAGAAATTGCCATAATATTTTGGAAAACCTACTTTTTAAATCAGCTAAAACTTTATCCTGTAAAAGGCTACGATATTAAAGAATTTTAACTACTACTAAAAGTAGTAGTTAAAATTCTTACTAAAAAAATTAAAGATAAAATGCTACACACATGATTTATCGGATCACAATATTATAAATAATCCATCTCTATTCTTTTATACCTATCTTTTACAATTATTTTAATACAAAAACAAATTAATAAAAAAGACCTCCACATTAACATT